TCCTCTTGGTCCATGGGCTTCAGTAATTTGCCTGAGTGAATAGAGATGGATGCGCAATATTCAGATAATTGGAAAAAGGATTAGTTTGCAGCTGAAAATTACTAAGTTTACAGTGTGTTTTACAGTAATACCAACATTCAGGGGTATATAAAACAGTATCAAAACTCAAATGAAACATGACATGAAGCCATTATGAATGCATTGCGCTGTGTGGCTTTGTAGGGAGAAGTCATGCTGCCTTGTTTGTTTAATTCTTCTTGTTGCAAAACTCATGGAGGCTCACCAAATATAAGTGTTGGTGTAACTTCATCATAATGGCTATATCTGGACTGAATTTGACCTAAAAATGCTTGATCATATTTTTTAAAATTACTGGTGTCTTCTTGTGTAAAATTCTGAGTACAAATCTCTGCCCATCTTCATTTAACTGCACACAGCTCTGATCCATTCATGCAGTTTGCTCTCTGAGTTATTCTCAGCAACATACAATTTGGGCAATTATTTAGTGGGGTTCCTCTGTCTAATTTCATGCCTGACTGACATGCCCTGCAGTCATCCTTATGTTCCTTTGATGATGGAGGCTGTACAGAGAGCAGCAAAATCCTAGTTCCCATTGAGTTTCACCGTTGGCTTCTACGGGTCCAAAGTTTCACCCTAAGTATGTTGAATCTATGAACTACTACAAGGGACTAGGAACTGAGATAAGTTTAATTGCCTTGGGTGTTAAGCTCAGTTGTGGTTTATTTTAAGTGTGCAGGGGAAGCGCTTCTTCAAGAGTGATTTGAAGAGACAGAATAAAAATGAGTGCACTCTTGGGAATGGCTGCGGACAGCCTTCTTGCAGAGCTCCAGTTCCAGATTTAAAAGGCTGTTATCTAATGAGCACAAGCAATTACTTAGCTAATGAGCACAACAAAATGAGCACGAGAAATGTGTTTCATCTGCAATGCCCACTAGAAAGACATGGTTTTGAGCTTGAGGCTGCCCTTGCTTTAAGAGCTGGGTCACCGCAGTGAGATTAATCCAGGGCATAAATCACTGGGGTTAGATTAGTGTTTGTTTTACTTGAATTCACATTTCTTGCTCGCTTATCTGCTCTAAATCTTGCAGCTTTTTAGCTCAATCGTGAACCAGAGAATGGAATGGGTTTAAACAGCCGCAATTTCCCTCCTGAGCACTGGCTGTCAGCCCTCAGGCTTGATTTACCACTAGAATGCAATTATAAAATGGCACAATGCAATTAATGTGTCTTCCCTCCCCTTTCATGCCAGACAGGAATTCCTCCTCCACCTTCTTCAGTTGGAGTGATTTTTATAATACAATCTAATCCAATGCAACTTTGTTTTGCATTAGTCAGGGGTCTACCAGATGGCAATGACATAAACAGCTGACTGTACGTCCCAGTTAGGGATGATTTGGCATGTCTACTACTATCTCTGTGCAAGTTCAGATTGTTCATGCGCCTCTTTTTGTTTGGTTTTGTGGTTGTGTTTTTTCCCCTTTACAGCTATCAGCGATAGCCAGAAAAACAAGGCAAATGTAGAATGAATTGCCTAAATTTTTCAAGCCATTAACCAAGAGCCATTTCCTCACTACCAAATAAACTCACAGCCTTTCTGGTGTCAATCTAGGTGATCATCTGCAAATACTTCAGAAACAACATCTGCCAGAGCTCTGACATTGCTAGAAGTTTGATTTTTGACAGTAAGACCAGAAAGCCAAGACCTTGGTTTGTAAGGGTCCCTGTAAACACCAGATACCCTGGACCTGCAGGGAGGAGTACTGGTAGTGGATCATCTTGTCACGCATGTTCTGCAGACTTGCTGTGTTGCACAGTGTTTAAGAAGGTGTTTAAGATGCCAGGTGAGGCACTGGAACAGGTTGCCCAGGGAAGCTGTGGAAGCTCCATCCCTGAAGGTGTTCAAGGCCAGGTTGGATGGGGCTTTGGGCAACCTGGTCTAGTGGGAGGTGCCCCCATGGCAGGGGGGTTGGAATTAGATGATCTTCAAGGTCCCTTCCAACCTAAACCATTCTGTAATTCTGTGATTCTAAGATGATAGTATGTGGCCATACTGATGAAAGCAATGGGGAAGAAGATTTCTGTGTATGCAAGGACAGGTAAAAATTGTATGTACAAGTTTCTAAGTTAATGTTAGGGGTGGTGTAAAATCTTTGTCCTTTATTAATCAGGAACATGGCACAGTCAACCATTGCTAAATTTCATTGCATTTTTCCTGATGTATTTCACTGAGTATTGAACATAAATTTTTTTATTTTACTCTTTATGGATATATTTCATTATGCCTAAGACTTCACTCAGTCAGCAGGGAATCTGAAATCTTAATGATTTTTTATATTTTCAGGAAAATTGTTGCCCGTCAGGGGAGGCACATTAGAATCATGTGAATGAAAAGGAAATATTGATTTCTCTTCCCCCATGAAATAAGTTCTCAGAGTCATGGCTATTATCAAATTAAATTGAAACTGTAGCTAAACACTAAATCCAATTAGTAAAAGGCATATTCAGCCTCAAGAGCGCTTCCCATTTTCTATGGTCTCACAGTGGCCTAGATGACTTTTGCTCCTTAATTTAGGTTCAGACTTCTCCCTAGGGCTCTTTGTTACTTTGCATACTGCAGGAAGTAAACGCAGGAGGTTTCACTTATGTGGCATACATGGAGAAAGCAAGGGCTGCCAAAAGTTAGAGCAAAACAAGACAAAGTGGCAATATGTGAAAGCTGCCCATGTTCTTCATTCTCTGAGGTCGGCAAGTGGTTGCCTTCGCTTCTGGTGCTGAGCCTCGGACGAGAACTGAGGTTTTCAAAGAGGCTTCTTGTTGGCCTAACTCACTCTCTGCTGAAACCCAGGGTGGTTTTCCCACTGGTTTTAATAGCACCCATTACGCAATGCTGAAGGCTTTTGAAAATCCCATCTATCAGCTATGAACGGGTCTGTTGACCAAAAACCCAAGTTTGCTGCCTTTGAGGGGAGAAAGCTTCCCTTGTGGGTCTTTCCCTTTCTTCCATATTCTTAGCACTGATTGGGTGTAAACGCAGCCGTGGCTGCCCAGTACCAGCAAATCCTTTCAGGTCTGCAGTGATTCGGGGAGGATTTGTATGTGAGGCACTGAAGAGTTGTTCCAGTTGTTCTTTGCCTTTTGAGATCAAAAGAGGTATCTGTGTAGAGACCTCGCTTAAATTCCTTTGCAACTCGTTGGATTTTGCGTTGAATTAAATTTCACATGCTGAGTGAGCAGTGAACCCTTCTGAGCCTAGAGGAAAGAATATGCTGTTTCTATGCGTTTTAATGTGATGGCCAAGTTTGGGCTAACGTTCCCAGGGACCTCCTTCAATGTTCACCTTTCAGCCTTTCCATCCTAAGCCCTGTATTTTGAAATGAGATGCCTGCATTTTATTACCTTTGTAAGTGGAAAACAGCAGCATATGTTCTCTGCTCCCTAGGAAAGGCCTGAACCATCTTGGTTTGAACTTTAAAATAAAGGTCAGACTTGAGGCAGGCACGAATTCTTGCATGTGTTAGCCCAAAAGGTGAAAGCTTTAGGAAGTTATGAGCAACTGCAAATGAGGCAGTTTCAAATTGCACTTGAAATTGGAGCAGCTGTTGTTCCTGTTGTTCAGAGGGTGACATTCAGAGTTATAATGCTAAAGAATATATACATTGTCTTCAGGGAGAACTCAAAAATAGAATAGTCACTGAGGCAGGGAGAAAATTGGTTTAGGTGGCGTGTGGTAGAGAAGGAACAGCCTTTATGTTAATGGCACAGGGATAAGATTGTGGGAAAGCCCAAATATCGAGGTGGGTGTAAGAAAAGGGAACAGGGAGAAGACAAAAGAGACCGGGGGAGTCTAGGGGAATTTCTGAGAAAGGATTTTCCAGTGCCTCCTTGCAAGTGAAAATTAATTGTTTTGGGACTGGAATTCACAGCTCTGTATTGCGGGGACTTAGTGAGGCTGGTGGATTACCTCGCACTGTGGTCTCAAAATGCTCTGACAGGTTCATGTGTGTCAGGCAAACATTATGGTAATTTTAGCGCTCTAGGGGCTCCACAGCAGCACATAAATACCACCTAAGCCATCCAGCTGAATTTAAAACTTAATTACTGCCCCACTTAATAATATTCTCTCCCCCCACTACTGCTTTAGAGGATCACAGGGTTAAAAGAAATCATTAATCTTCCTTAATGAAGCTATTTTCTAGCAGGAGACAGAATGTCTTGCCCCTGTGGATTCTGAGATGGAGTTTTTATGAGTGTTATGAATGGGGAAGTGGGGAGCGAGCGTTACAGGAAAGGCAGTGCAGAAAAGGGGACAGGACCCAAAATGCCGGCGGTGGGAAGACCCTCTGACTCGCAGGCCCTTGCTGAGCATAGCTAAAAGGAACGCGATAGTCATGGGGGAAGAGGAGTGAGCCCTATTAAAAACTGACTAAGTTGGCTGTACAACAGTTTTCCCACCGCAGTTACTAATTATTGGAATACCCACAATTGCCAAAGTTTTTATATAGCCGAGGCAAGAGCTCTCTTGAATGCTGCGGTTGAAATTGTGCATCTCCAGAGGAATCTAAAGCAGAACGGTGGTGGCAGAGTTTGGGTCTCTGCTTTTAACTGTCAGGGTTGATCCCTGTCCTCAAAGCTGCTTTTTCTGGGATAGTACTACCTTATACTACAATTAAATTGCGTGCAAATGTTTCAAAATCTCTGTGATTGTCCCAGTGCAAATCCCTGCTTTTGCACGCATGAAAGGGAAAGGCATCACGCTCCCTCAACCAGTGTGAGTTTTAGTCCTCTCCTAGCCCATGGCTCCTGCGGTACCAGTTACATTAAGCACAGTTGCCTGCCTCATGCCGGGGGACAGATGCGGAAGCGAGGACGGCCTTGCTGTTCTCCAGCTTGTCTCCGTGTGATGATCCCTTTGGTGGAGATACTGATGTGCTTTTGTTTCTCTGTTTCTTGTGCTTGTCTGCGTGCATCCCTGGCTGCAGAAGATGCTGGACGAGTGCCAGGACAAGCGGAGCTGCCAGTTTCTCGTCAATAGCCGGCTCTTCGGTGCAGATCCGTGCCCTGGAACCGGCAAATACCTCATCGTGTGGTACAAGTGCAGGCCAAGTAAGTATCTCGCTATCAAATCTCTTTGCTCTGGCGAGACCAAAGCATTTTCGTACTTAATAGTCGCCAGAGAGGCCTCCTAGAACTTTTTGTTCCCTTCCACCTTTATTTTTGGTGTAACATAACCCCCTGGGTGTGCAGCGTTTCCCCTCTCCCCCTTGCTTGCTGCCTTGCTGGGATGCTGCTGCTCCGGCTCCTTCCTCCTTGCTGGCAGCCCCAGTTGCAGATTGTTTTTGCAGGTGCCAGCGAAAGCCTTTGCCAACGCTGAGCTCACGCTGCCGGCGGTGGGTGGGCTGCTCCCGCTCCCGTCTGCAGCCGCCCTCCTGTCCCGGTGGGCTACTGGGACTTGACCCCTCTCCGCCTGCCTCTCCAGAGGGAGTGGGAGCTTTTTGCGTGGGCAAAGACTTCAGGCCTGGGTGCCTAAGGCAGGCACCGAAGATGGTGGTGCAACGGGAAGCTCACCTGCCCACGCCATGCCACAAACCAGCTCTTAATTGCTCCCAGATCAGGCTGGGAAACCTTAATCTATGTTTTGCGTGATCTCATTAGCTGTGTTTAAATTAAATGGGACTGGCGCCTGGAAACTGGGAGTGCAATCATGTGTGTTGCGGAGGAGGCAGCCTGGTGCGGCTTTGGCCCAGGACAACCAGCACCCTCTTGGCCAATTCCTGGCCCCACTGGGGAAGTTAGCCCAGCCTGGGCACTGTTTTCCATCAGCACTTTGGAAGCAGAGATATTGCTTAGGAGACGGATAGGGTTTGATGGCAGCCAAACGACGCCAACCGATTTCAGCCAGAGAACAGGCCCTGACTCTATTTGAGTTAGTAGTCTGGACATGGCATGTCACACCAGCCTCATCCCAAGCTTTTTTAGATGACATAACTAACATGGTTCCAGCATCACGTCAGCATTTTTGAGGAATAAATTAAAAAAAAAAAAAGTTTGCACAGGGAATTAAAACATACATGATTTCAGAAAAGGTTTGAAACAAAAGCAGAAACATTCAGACTGTCAGCACCACAGTCTTTTTGCACGCAGAGACCTGTGCTAATGAACTGAAGGGATCTGGCAAGATCTGTGAGGAATTCAAATGAAAAGCAGGTAATGAAGCACCTGCATTTGTTGTGGGGTTTTCATGAGTGATTGGAACATCCCTTGTTGGGTGAGAAATGCATCCCTGAGAGAAGGGTGATTAGCAGGGTGTTCTGACAAGTCCTCCTGAACCTGTAGGTTTTGTATCAAAGCTCGCTTGAGAAATCTGACTACTGAGGCCTCTGCTGAACTTCTGAAGGTACTTCAGGATCCCATCTGTGCATAAATATTTATGGCTTGGCATTCTTTGCTAATTACAGATATGCTAGAAAAGAAGGAGTTTGCGTGTGTGCTGGGTAAGTGATTTTCCTGAAAGAGAGCAGGGGAAGTTGCTTGAAAACATTTCCCCAAGACATTTTTCAGGTAGCTCCAATTTTGCAGGGTGAAACAGGGTAACCTGACACAAATTATTGTTTCTTAGTCACTGGGCAAACTTTTAATCAGAACCCGTTGGATTAATAACAAGGTTTGAAATATGTGAGGATTAGCTTTGCCCAGAGACTCCAGGACACGGTCAACCTTTCCTTGATGATTCAAGACATCAGTTTTCAGTCTCACAAGCTGAATCTTGTGCTTGTGTGAGTTTGGTAATCGTGCCTTTTCACCTTGCTGTAGGGAGAAGGTTAATGAAGGGACTGAAGAAAGGGATCCACAGAATGATAAGTACAGGACCATGAAAAATTTTGGTGGGCTTTTGGGGTTATTGAGTATTTGTGTATTGTTTATGAGCTGTAAGTAAATCCAGTGCAAGGCCTTCATGTTTAAGAGTTGGCCCCAAAAGCTGTGGTCCTATGAAGTATTGATCTGCTGAAGAAAGACTGAGCACACGAATTGTAACCAAAAAACACCAGAGAGTCTTGTCCACAGCTCACTGTCTGGCGCATGCTTCAATCCATAACTTCATCAGAAGACAAATGCAATTTTTTAGGCTATGTTTCTGTTCCTGAATTTGCCCTTCTTAACAGTAGACACTACAGAAGTACTTTAATAAGAAGCTATTTAAGGTCTGAATTGTCCTCTAGAGACATCTATTTCTTTCCTTTGCCTCTTGAGGGAGCCTGATCTGACCATGCTACTGAAGTAGGTGCCTTGGTTTTGTGCTTGCCTATGTAGAACGAACGGGAGCTTTCCTGTATACAGGTATGAGGGGTGCTTTGGAAAGTGGCCTGCAGAGCTTGGACATGACATCTTTAACAAAAAATAAGAATGCCCAAGTCCTCCCATTCTCAGAGTCACACTGGAACCTCAAAAGGCCCCTGAATAGAGGTAGTTATCTAAAAAGAAAGACTTCCTTGAAAGAAAGCAAAACTGAAGGTAGTGGCATTTACTTGTACCTTTGCTGAAGAATAACTAGATGGTGCAGTCATCCCCTCCAGCCACTGTCACTGCAGTTATGCCTCTCTGACATTATGTTGCATTTGAAATCTAGTGGTTTCGATGCTCACTGGCTGTATGGGGTTCACTCACAAGGCAAGGTGCTATTTTGGATTCTCATGGGCAGAATTTTAAGGAGATGGAGGACAGTAAAACACGCGGAAACTGAAAGCCCCAGATCTTCCAAATGGTGGGGCTCCGGGGAACTGGGCGATCGGGGCAATCTCTGCTGCACTAACCGCTCTGAAATTGCTTTTGCTGGAAGGAGGGAAGCTCAGGCAGAGGTTTGATGCTGAAGCATTATGGTTCACCTCCTCTAGAAATTCAAGGAAATATTTCAGAGAAGTGCTTGCTTAACTAGAAGCAGTGAGAAATTCAATGGCCTGTGTGTTTTTTGAGAAGTCTCGTGCTAATCATGGTCTCCTCTGATCCAATGACTGGATCTGGGGTCTAGTGGACACTCATCTGCATGTACAGGATTCAGATGTGTGCATGAGACTGCTTTTACATGTCAGGTGTTTGGCAGTGCTGTGTATTCTCTGTGCCTGTAAATAAATAAATACACTATGTGTGTGTATACTTTAAATTTGAAGGTACACAATGTTTAGGAAGATCAGAAATAATCAATAAAATGCTCTATTCTGTCTCAGTTTGGGGTAAGTGAGACTTACTTATTGCTGCTATGTGATTTGAAGGCCAAGGTTCATCAAAGTGTATAGGGGTTTAGCATTTATTTTCTTTTCCCATTGCACGTGGGCCTTATTTTCTAATGTGCGCTGCCCTTTGGGAAGATGTTCAAAAGCATGGTACAGGTCTCGGCAGAGCACAGCTGTGATTTGGGTTTCTAAGCTTGGAGGTGCCTTTGCAAATCATCCTACTGTCGACAGCCTCAGTCGAGAGCACCCAGAGAGTCCCCGCAGGTCAAGGCTGGGACATGTTGCTGTAGGTGAAACCTGGAGTTGTCCTCTGCTAGTGCAGGTGTAGCCTGGCATTTAGCACTGTCTGGGGATGGTTTCCAGTGGGAAGCTTGGATACAGCCACCTTGTTTTAGAGGCTAAAAAAAAAATGATGAGAATGGCTGCGGGCTGTCCCATGCCAGTTGGCCTGAGTGCCAGAGAACCGGCACATTTAATTTATTGGGGCCAATGTAGCCTGAGATCTACCTCCAAAGCGCACTCAAGCCTAGGATCAAGCCCTGAACATACAGAGGACTTCAATCTCCGGGGTACCTTTCACGATCATTAAAAATTGCGCACAAATCCAATTATTTCTCAGGTAACACGCTGATTTGATTTAGACCCATTAAGTATAATTACCGGGTAGGCTGCAGGAACATATAATTAGAAGGAATTGACATACTATTTAATTGGTCTAACATGAATTCCCTCTAACTGAAATCTGGATTCACCAATATTATTCAAAGAATTTGGTGTTTGTTCATCCCCCTCACTTCAAAGACAGAGAACCATGTAAGATCGTGCGTTATTGTAAGCTAGGAAATATTTGCGCTGTGTGCCAGACTTTCTGGAGGGGTTGCGTGGTCTAATCCTGACTGGGAACAGGATCTGTGGGGCTGCCCAAGTCATGCTGAAGAAATAACTTCACCTTTCTGCACCCCAGCAATACCATTGCAGCCCATTTTACCAGGTTTGCTTGCTGCTCTGGGCTATTGTACAAGCCGGGATCGATTTGCCCCTGCACAGCATTTGTTTGCCCACTGTGGCTTCTTGGTTGTTTGGTTATTTTTTTGGCTTTGTTATTTCAAAAGTGCTAATGCTGCTGAACCAAATGGGGACATAAGTGCCTGCCTGTCTCTGCAAAGGGATTACTTAGGATGAGATGTGTTGTCTGAGTGGCTGTTTGCTGGCAGTGCTGTCGAGAAGGGAGAGGGCTCCTGCCTTGTTTGTGTGGCTTCCTCCATGAATCCCCCACGTAGTGCCTTTCTCTTGTCTCCTCCTCTGCCATTGCCACACTGTCCTGGAGGCACCGTCCCCTTCTCAGCTCTGAATAGCCTGAGCTGCAGCCACCTGTAGTGCTGTAATGATATTGTCGCTCTTTCCTATTAGACAGTTGCTACTTTAGCTTATGACTTCAGGGACTCTGGCAGAGATAATCTCTATCCAGTGGTTTGGGTTTTTTTCATTTTTATTATTTTTATTTAATTTTAGAATGCTGTGTGGAGCAGCTGGATGTGATAATTGGAGGCTGGTGGGTGTGAAGCCTCCCAGCGATGTAGCGAAGTGTAAATCCAAAGTTTGCTGCTCTCCCTTCTATTCACAAATGTAAGCCTAAAACCTTTGAAGTTTCAGAAAGCCTGGATTGTGACCTGGGCTCCAACTGCAGCTCAAATCCCTCTGTAACAATACAAAAACATATTTGTGAAAGACATCAAGGTTCTGAGAAATTCATCTGGGAAGGAAACTTGCGTTTCTTGGCAAAGGGTGAAGTGCCAAAAGTTTGTGTGGGGGCAGGGGGAGGAAAGGGGGTGGGGGAGGTCGCTTTGTTCTAGTTCAGAACGTGTAGCTTTGATTTAT